ACCTCACTGGTTACTCAGAAGTCCAAACAACGCAGTTCCCTTAAAGTGCCCAGCCTCAGGCCTCCGTCCAGACACACCCGTCAGATATGATGATGATTACGGAAAATCTGATCTCATCATATAAAAGAAAAGGTTCTTCCAATCCCAAAGGATCAGCCACACACCCAGGTCCAATTATAACTTAGATCTTACCCAGAATACACGGTAATAGCCAATTCTTATTAACTAAGCTAAAATTTATTAAAAAAGAAAAGAGAGAGAGTGTTGGTTAAAAGATCAATATTCAGACAGACTTGAATTCAATTCTTGAGGTTCAGATGCATAGCAGAGATGAGCTTGTAGTTGCCAAAAGTCCTTTTAGAAATAGTCCATAGGTTATAGTCCAATGTCCATATTCAGGGTGACTCCAGTCAGTGACTGGGGACCTCAATCCTTATGGCTGAAGCTTTCCCCCTCTTGAAACCCAAAGCAGATCTGAGATGAAGCAGGATCATGTCTCAGGGTTTTTATACATTTCCATCAGCCTTTTGGCCTGAGAAAAAAATAGGCTTAACTCTCCTTCCAAACTTCCTGGCAATTAGCACAGGGTAATTTATCCATTAAACAGTTCAGATACAGGTTACCACAACCTTCAAAGAGACATAGAGACAATAATACTGTTTCCCTCAAGTGTCTTCCTAAATGTTAATATTCCTTTTTTGATCTTTGAATCAAAGCTATAGCAATAGACAAGACTTGTTTACTTACATCTCAAGACCTGAGCAAACACCTACCCTTCTACCTCTAACAATGCAGGCTGCATTTCAAAGCTCTATTCATTTACAGATCTTCCTAACAAGTCTCTAAAGTTCGGCCATGGGTCAGGTCAGTTTAATTAACTCTTTCTGGCCCTGTCATCTTTCAATGACATATTAAATTACACTTATAACATCACCCCCCGTCTCCTGGAGACACCGCCCTGCTCCCAGTCTCAGCTCGGGGGTGGGGCAGGGCACGGACAGGGCTAAGGGGAGCACGAGGTAAAAACTTTGGGGACAGTTTCACTGGCTTTCAGCCCCCCACTATAAGGTGTCCCTGCCCCACAGACAGCCCTGGAGCAGCCCGGAGCGTCTCCGCAGTACCCGCAGCATCAGGGATGTCTCTCCGGTGCAGAGCTGGTACCAGAGCTTCGCATGAACTGGCCTTCAGCGAGCTCACGTGGGATGCCAATAACCCGGGGGAGGTTCCATTGTTCTTTGCATTTGCTGAGTGCCCATCCCCCGTATCTGGGCAAGAGGGACGGGGCGGGAAGGGCTGTGACTCCAGTTTGCTCACATCCCCCACCCCCACCTCAGTTCCACCTGCAACCGACACTATTCGTGGTGTGTGTGACCCCCGCAGCACCTGGGCGCCCCATTGTCCTGCACACACGCAGCCAGACAGGCTCTGCCCCCAGCAGCTCCCAGTCCACAGAGAAGCCCCAGGCAAAGGGCTGAGGGGAAACACGCCCAGGGAGGGGAAGGGACTGAGCCGACATCCCGCAGCAGGTCGGGGCAGAGCTGGGGTAGCCCCGGTCTCCTGCATGCTAGCCCACTGCCCCAGCCACTAGCCCACACAGCCTGGCTTCTGGCTGTTAGCTGCTGCGTGAAGTGGCCGAGGCCTGACCCCCAGGGAATGTGCCTCGGCCGCTGGCGGGGGGGTCGTGCTGTGATCCCCTTACAGAGATGGGGACTCCCAGCCACAGAGCAGCTCTTCTGGTGCCATGCAAAGGCGACGAGACACAGCTGTAATCTGCTTCCACGCCCAGGAACCAGCTTGAGCTTCCGCCAGCAAGGAGGGAA